ACCACCAAAAGGGATCAAAATGTAGACCAATTGATGATATCAAAGGAGTTCCCTTTGATTCAATTATCTCTATCTTCACACTTTTAGCATTATTGACCATCCCTTTTTCAATCCTATGAAGCTTCTTGTATCCTATTGTAGTTCCATTAGCAATTATCTTCCCATCAACATAAATTTGATGACTTTTTACCCTTTGTCCTAGTCCAATTGCTTCTTGAATCCTTACCACGTTAAACCTCAATGGCTTATCACTCTTTGTTTTGAACTCAATCCAATTATGCTCTTTATCATCATCTTTTGGACCCCAATATGTCCATAAATTGTCATCATCTAGCACGTTTTCGGGTCCGAATCCTCCATTTTTACCTCCCCTTTGACTACTTGCTTCGATTGAACAATCCTTTGCTAAATTGGTGGAGAATATTGTGTTAATTGCACTTGTAAATTCTTTGAGTCTTTGCACATCACTATTGCTTATTAATCCTTGTGTGTTTGGAGGCACGTTAAGTAGCAATACGCAATTTCGTCCTATGGAATTGTAGTAAATTTCTAGTAACTCACTTAGGCTCTTTGGTTCTTGTGATTTATGCCAAAACCATCCTGGTCGAATTGATACATCACATTCTGGTGGTACCCAATCTGTCCCTTTGGGGTCTCCACGGTTCAGATAACTGCATTTCACAAAATCAAAAAGAAAATTTTCTCAGAATTCAACAAGTTCTTATGATATAAAACTAGGAACACATAAACTAAGGAAAAAAAATCTTTTTTTATAATAAAAACCTAGCAACAATAAAATATGGAACGAAGGGAATTGGGATTGATATTCAAACATTTAGGATTAGAAAATCAACATATAATTAAGATCATAATATAAAAATTGGTTGAAAGAATTCCAAAGACTCCAACAGCAGGCAACGATTTTATTTTTTCCGGTAGAGTAAATCGCTGTTGACGCAGCGATTTTGACCGTTTTGGTTAATATAAAATTTTATATACCATTTTGAAATTTTTGTTAATATTTTGTACCCTTTAGACTTCGAACTCTTCATTTTTTAACCAACATTAATTATGGAATTTATAGGAAGAAAAGGATTTTCAATTCATTTTGAAATATCAAATATATTTTGCGAAACATAGTTCCCCAGCCACTACTTAGGACAATTCAAAAAGAATAACACATTTTTATTTTTATTTTATGAGATTGTATTAAAGATCATAACTTCTAAAAATCTTCTTTTTTTTTCTTAAAATTTTGCACCTAGTGGAAGTCATTATCTAATATAATTGACATTTTGACATGTATCTTCTTGTTTTTCATAAAAGGGTAATTGACATGAATATATATATATAGCCAATTTAGTCCTGTTTTCTAGTGACATCTTTTCATTTTACAAAGTCTTGTGTACACACTTAGCCACATGATTTTGTAAATACAGCTAGCACAAACAATAATATTGAGGAAAATAAAATTGTATTTTAGCTAAAGTTTGGAAAAAATAAATTTTACGTACTCAGCGTCGCTACCGCCAATAGACAACAATGTTCGATTGATGGTGGACCAACTTGTGTTTCCGGCGAATCCTTGCTCATTTCCGACCCACCGGACTCCCGGTCCGGCATCGGAAAATATGTTGATTGCACTCTGCAATTCATTCACTATTGCAAACCAATCTTCGAAGTAGTAAGTCATGTTTGGTGTATTTGAACCCTTTGCTCCATCAAACCATATCTCTTTAACATCTCCATATCTTTAATTTCAACCATTCATTCAAAATAAAATTTATTAGTTCCATCAACTTATATACAATGATAACACACAATTCATCTAAAAGATACACCCTTCGTTCACAAAGAATGACACGGTTTGTCTTGGCACAGAGTTTAAGTAAATAAAAAAAAAATTTAATCTTGTGGTTCCAAATTAAAGTTTTGTCAAATGTACAAAATTGTCTTTTTAATATTGTGACATTAAACATGTCATGCGAAAAGCTAAATTTAAAATGTTATAAAAAAAAATTATTCCTTTTTAAATAGACTAAAAAGAAAAAATATTATTCTCTTTTAAACGAATGAAATAATATAACTAGATATAAGCAATAATACGAAGAAGACAGATTAGCAACTTGAAAAAGATTTTAAGTTATATATGTACACTATCAATTATTATTTTCTTCATTTCAATTAAAATTTGTGATATGAAAAATTAAATTATGTACATATCATTCTTTTTTGTACTTAGACTAAAAACAAAAAAGTATCACAAAATTTTTATTAGACGGAGGTGGTACATTTTATCAAGAGATTCATCTATAGTTATCTACTCATAATTAAAGTGAAAATAATTTTACACCACAATACATAGAACTTTAAAATTTTCTTCATTTCAATTTACGTGATAGATTTAATTGAACACTAAATTTGAAAAATAATTTTAAAATTTGTAATATCAAAAATTAAATGACCTTATAAAGAGTAAAGTTACAAGTTTAAAAAGTTAAATTATTATCAAAATTATGTACATATCATTCTTTTTTGTTCTTAGACTAAAAACAAAAAAGTATCATAATTAAAGTGAAAATAATTTTACACCACAATACATAGAACTTTATTAATTCCCTAAAAAAATAAGACAAATTACCTGTTATATAAAATAGGCTAAAAATTTCTTTACAATATTGGATGTATATATATAGGTAAATTGTTTTTTTTCCCTATTTTTTGATGCATGTATTATTGAAAAAGAAAAAAAAAAGATTATAAGGACTTACTCATTGAGAAGTTCTTGTAGTTGAGCCAAATAATGTTCATTGTACTCTTTATTAAGCCCATAACTCTTATCATGGCGATCCCATGGCGAAAGGTACAAACCCACATCAACTCCGCGAGCCTTGGCCGCATTGACAAATTCTCGAACCACATCGCCTTGGCCATTTTTCCAAGGACTTTTTATAACCGAATGATCGGTATATTTAGAAGGCCACAAGCAAAAACCATCATGGTGTTTAGCAGTGAGTATCACTAGTGATACTCCTGCTTGAACCGCGGTGTCAACCCATTGGTTGGCATCTAGGTTTGTGGGGTTGAAAATCGAAGGATTTTCAACCCCAGTGCCCCATTCACTATCCGTGAACGTGTTGACACCAAAATGTAGGAACATTATGAGTTCCCTTTGTTGCCATTTTAATTGAGCGTAATTTGGTAATGGGAGAATTGGCAATGGAGGTGGTGTTATTTGTGTTTCTTGGCTAGGAATGATCAATTGAAATAAGGTCATGATTAGACATGACAAACAAGTATAATAACAAGGGTTAGTCATGATTTTTTTCTCTCTTTTTTCAATGTTGATAATGAAGAATAGAGGATATGAATTATAAGTGCCAAAGTGGGGACCTTTAAGTTTTTTTTGAGTTGTGTATGTACTACCATATATATATAATAATATAATATAATGAGATTTTTAAAAAAAAATATGAGTTTTTTGGTTGTTAAAAAAGGAAGTAAAAGGCGATGAAAAATATGAAATTGGTTTTGTTACTTTTTTGCCTTTTTGCACTCTTTTCACGGGTTGGCCTCCTAGTGTCTCTAGTCTTTTGGACCAATTAATGGACACATTTTAGCTGTTTTCTTCTCTAGGAAGAAGAGTAACGTAACACTTGTGCATAATTATGAAAGGAAAAATTAAATGTCTTAATGACAGATCGGCTTTTTAAAAATGTTATCGTGTCAATATCATTAGTTTAGAAGGATCAATTCGAGAAGCACTTTAAAACATATTTAAAATGTCCGAAATGTAGATGAAAATTGACAACCACTTAAAATCAATGGGAAAGAAGTTGAGGAATATAATATCTCTTTTTCCGAATTCTTAACCAAACTAAGTTATTATATAAAATAATTTATCAAAGTAATATATTTTTTAAAAATTTTATAAAACTAGTATAAATGTATTTCACGGTAACGTTTTAGGGTATATTTTATTTTAAAAAACTAACAGCATTAGGTTGATATACGTTACTATAAGTAACGTTTTACTTTTAAAACGTTATTTTCAGTAACGTTTTACTCCTATAACGTTACTGTGAGTAACGTATATCAATCTGACGCCATCAACTTTTAAAAAATAAAATATATCTTAAAACGTTACTGTGAAATACGTTTATACTAGTTTTATAAAATTTTAGAAAAACATATTATTTTGGTGAATGACTTTATATAATAGCTTACTTTGGTTAAAAACCTCTCTTTTTCCTCTTGTTCTTGATTTTATATTCGATTTCAAAATCTTTAATCCAGTCTATTATTACGTAATCGAAGAAACCTAAAAAAAATTAAAGAGAGAATGAAGGATAGTTCATTATTCATAAGCAAACTAATTAAGAGATTGAAATTAATAGTATATATTACTTTCCATATAGATACTAAACTAAAATAAAGTTAAATATTTCACAACTAATAAAAATCTTTGATTTGAAAAAAATTAAATATTATAGAATATTTTTAAACTAAAAAAAAATCTAAAATATTCAATCATGTCATAGAAAGAAAGTAAATTTCAACTTCTAGATCTTTTTCTTACAACTACATACTTGTGCCATATTTAGAATTTTCTACAAATTAAAGTTTTGTAAAATTATTTAATTGGTAAGAGTAACATTTTCCGACGGTTATATTATTTTACTACATGACAGAATTCTTCCATCAAAAGGAATCAAGTTGGACAAGAATCTACATATCGCCCATCACTCGTTTATGAAAATTACGTTTCGTAAGAGAAATTTAAAAAAAAAATTATAATATCTTGAGTCAAATATTTTTTAGAAAATATTATAACCATCTAACCAAATAAATTATTTTATATTATAATTCATTACTTATATTTTCAGTAGTTTAAATATAGTTGATTTTGAATAATCTAATTGGTATGCTATCTTTAAAAACGCGTAAAGAAAAAAAATTAAAGAAAATTTGCTTTCTGTTTGTACATCTACAATAAATTCTAAACTATAGTTTTAGGACAGAGTTAAATTTCACGGTATCCGTAGAAAACAACTTAATGGAGAAAGTTATTCTAAATTAATAGATAAACAATAATTTAATAAAATTAGAATTTGTTATGTATTTAACAACTTAATCATTTATAAAAGTATTTAACGACTTAAACGTTTTCACCTTCACGCAAAAAAGTCTCACTTTGGCATTAGTGTCGCCAATTTATATCATAGTAGCGTGAATAAAGTAGGAAAGGATATCAGTAAACAAGGCACACAATACAACAAAGCTGATCAAATACAATATAATGAATGATGAAATGATGTAGTGGAATCAATTTCGTCGCACTAATTGTCTATACACCTTGCCGAGTATTTAGCTTCCACACAAGGACTCATGAGGAACTAACAGTTCATATATCAATCTCATAATCTCATCAACTTGCCACCTACCTCTCGTGGTTAAGAATATAAGTAAGGTGTCACATTTTCTTTCTTAAAAAGATAATATCTCTTTACTTTCTCATATTTTCATGATCAATAATATATTATATGAGGACTAATAAATCACAACATCTACAATGTACAGAAGTGTAATCAGTTCGATTACAAATAGTATCAAGTTTTAAACTCAACAAGTCATGAAACACTTCCTCAAATGATAGAGATAAAGGAGAAAATAATTTGAAATGAGTTTTTACCACATAGAAAATATTTATTTAATTTTAAGATGTTCAAAAATTAACTCAAGTCTTTAACTCGGACATCCTAATCATTGTTCTTTTAATAGGTGTGTCAATTCAAAAGTAAACAAATAATTAAAGACATACAGGAAAATGTTTTTACAAACTTATGAAATCCAATCATACATTCAAATGAACACAATTACTACCAAAATAAACTCAAATTTTTGCGTATATTATTTTTCGAGCTATTCATATCATATGAACACAATATATACATTCCACCAATATCAGATTATCAAGAAGTCATTAATGAAGTCAACATGGTGCTCTTCCTAGATAGGAAAAGGGTTGAATCTTTGTGAGAGTGATATGAAACCTGCTTTGATGACATTGCATAGATTTGGGAACCAATCTTCTTCTTCTTTATGGTATGAATTGTCATATTTGGAGGTTAAACAAAGGTTCTCGATAGTTTCAAATATTACTTTTTTTTTAATCATATTTCATATTTGAGATATATAAATTTGAATCCGCGAGATATACGTATCTGTTGAATTTTAAAATTAAGATACGTATTTTATTTGTTTAAATTAATTACACGTTTAACTAATTTTATTTTACTATTCTTTGAAATAATAATTTTCATTAATATTATTAATAAAAGACAAAAACATGTATATCTTGGTCATTTAGTTTGACTAATTTCATTATATTACTCTTAAAATAATAAATTCATTAATTTAATGTATCTATTATCAATATATGATGTATCCAACAAACTAAACACTAGATACATGAGTATCATACAAGTACATTCATATGTATCATAAATGTATCTAGTATCAATTCCATGTATCTATTTATATAACCTAATATTAATTTCATGTATCTATTTATATGACCTAATATTAATTTCATGTATCTAATTATATGATCTAATTTTAGTTTCATGTATCTTCTATATATATCTAGTATTAATCTGATGTATCAAGTATCAATTTCATACATTATATTAAGAATATGTATCTCGAATACATAGTAAGCATATACATATGTATCTAAATATGGAATGTAATCAAAACACATGAAATTATGAATAAATCATGAGTGTGAATTATTTATCTTATCATTAATCCAAAAATATAAAAATTATAAATCGATGTACGAAATTAATGATATTGTAAATTTTCATCCATTAAAAAGTACGGAAAACCAATAGATTCAAACAATGTAAAAACCCTAAAATCAAACTTTAAAATTTTAGAGCTCCTAATTAGATACATTAACATGGTAAAAACAGTGTTACAATACAATATCTCAAAATAACTGAACAAAATTTTACTTTACCTATTTATCTAATGTTGATTATAGAGAATTGATTATGAATTTATGATATGCAAAGATGCTCGAGGAAGAAAGGGGTAATGGTAGATGTGTGTGAAACAAAACATGTATTGAAATGGTTGAGGAAGAAGGGGGTAATGTGTTTGAACAATGAATAATGTGGGGGAGTGCGCTGATGGTATGAAAAGAGATGAAGTAATTTGAATTGTTAAAGTCCCACTAATTAAAGAGATATACTTTTAAGATACTTATTAAAAATCATTTTTGAAGAGATTATGTATCTAATTTAACTTTTAAAAAATTATGGTACAATTATTAAAAAATAATATTATATGTAATATTTTTAAACTAAAGGTAAAATGTATATATATGATAGTGAAGTATGTGTAGATACATAGTTTTTCCTTCAAGAAAGGGTGAAAAAAGGTGACAAAGTTTGGATGCTTGGGATGGGAATGGTCCTAAGTGCATTAGTTTATAAATATATTATAATAAAAAAATATTTATTTTTTATAGTAATAATTTTTTTTTACTTGACCATTTTTAATTCATTTATAATACTAGGTTAATACATATTACAAAGAATAATTTATTATTCACATATAATACAAATTTTAATAATGGATAATATAGTTACACTACATTTATAATACAATGTGACAATTTTTTTATCAAATAAACATAATATATCTCAAAAATAATTGTAATTCAAATATATTGCATATATAATTCACTTTTAATACATATTACATATTTATCACAATATTGCTATAAAAGATAATAAACAAAAAGTATCACTAAAATCAGTAATTATTTTTCAAAATGTATTAATCTATGTTATTTTTCCTTAGTCTAATTTGGGAATGTGTTGGGCCCATTTGTGGGGAAGCCCAAAGAGGTCAATGGGCTGATAGTGTTGATGGATATCCCTTAGGATGATACGGTCCTAAACACTTGGGCCGACTAGTTTATGAAATATACATAAAAATGTAAGGGAAAAGGCATAAATCACCTCTTAAACTTGTATCGAAAAGTCAGTTTCACACTTTAACTATTATGATGACCTATTATGCACTCTTAATATTTAAAAGTGAATTTAGTACCACCTTGAGATGCATAACACCACTCTCATAGTATGTGGTGTGTTACATTCGCTACCACATCAGCATCACGTCAGCAACACGTCAGAAATTATAATTTTTTTAATTTTTTTCTTTTTTTTATTAACTCTATTTTACGCTAATTAATTCGTAAATAATTATTAAAATTCCCTAATAATTATTTGAATTTATATCACAATTCTCTTTGTCTTCTCTGTCGAAGAACAAAATTTTCTTGATATGATTAATGA